TGGGTTCTGTATCTTTTCCAAATAAAATAATGCCTACTATTGGTTTGGAGACTACACCTGGACTTATCCATAGAGAACAACCCTGCACTGCTGAGCTGCCCAGTAACGAAATGTTCAGGCTTTCTCTCAAACATGCAATTTTATGCTTCTCGCAGATAACTCATTCCAATTGCAGTGCCCCTAAATTGCATATTGCAGTTTTACTCAACAACTTTCATATTCGGATTTTATATCGATTAGCATAGTTTTGGTCACGTTATTTCTATTTTTGGAAGCCAGTGTTTATACGTACATCATCAATCCCATTGAAAATGTGGCAAATAAAATATTGAGCAGTATTAACCCTCTGGCTGATATCCCGCAACTTCTATGGGCAAATCAAATGTAGCAAAATTTGCTCATCCCGCGATTTCCGCAGGCATATGTTTTTCTTTCTTTATTAAGGAGCTGATCCTGTTTTTTCCCCATTTAACCATTGAAATAAATTATATACAGTATTAGGCATTTAGTTTACGTTTTGGCCAAAAGATATCGTTAGTTGTCCACTAAGTTGTGGCATTTGAAGGCACGTGGTATTAACGCTCAAACTTCACTTTTTGCCACTTTTATCTTACAGAAATGGCTGCTAGGAAACGTTTAGCAATTATCTTGATTATTTAATTAAATTCTTAATTAGATTAATAATTAGATTTATTGAATCTGGTGCAAAGATTGTGAAGTTGGACTTTGCGTTAAACTCTGTTTTGAACTCTGTCGTGCTAAACTGCATTTCTAAGGTATTTTCCCCTCAGAGCTTTTTATTTTCTTAAATTTTATACATTTTACTTTTTTATATTATGCACTATATAGAAATTAACTGTAATTCAACTGAAATTTATTTTTGGTTATAACATCTGAAATTGGTTTTTCTGGCAACTTTTTTCTCATGATAAAAATCTGTATAAAAATTTTCTAGAAAAAAAAGTGTATTTTCAATTGTCCAATATTAATTTAAAAGCCAAAAATACACAATTTTGAAGCGTTTCGGTCCACAATTGAGCAGGCAGGGTAATAATTCGTAATTTGATACACATTTATGATACAGTCAAAAGTCGTTATATCCGGACTCGTCGGACGTCGCGATTCCGGATTATCGATTTTCCGGATAGATCATCAGTAAACGCGTAAGAGCATCGAAATTCTAAAATTAAAAATATGAACCGGAATTTATGAATAAAGAACATTAGATCACAGGACAAAAGGAAAAAAAAAAAGCTTAATATTTATGTTACTTTAAAACATTTCTCTCAGAATGTTTAAGTTGCTTCGGGTGAAATACTTTCGTTTTAATTCTATAAACAGACTAATTTTTTTTTCACTTACAATTCGCTGTTCAAGTCCGTTAATTGCTGTGCCGAGAATACGACTAACTTGTCATCGAAATTTTTTCGTTTTCACTAACCTCTCTGTCACATTCTTCATGTCTTTATCCATTTTTTACAGCAATCACTTTTTGTTTGATGGACATCGAAACAACATTTCGTTTTGTACGATCCTTTGGAGCTCCAGAATCAAAAATTCTATTTGACGTAATCAAAAGTGCAGTTTACTTTTATAGTATTGCTCTTACGTCTGCAAAAAATAATAAGCCGGATCCAATTCGAAAATTAAGGAACAACGCAAATCATCAACATTAACGGAATAGATAATTAGATAATTTTAGCTTAAACCGCCGTTATACATAAATGCGCACGCGAAAACGTATTTGTGCTTTCGCAACGCAAATGCGCAGTCATAAGAGGTCTTACGCGCACGGGTAAACGCCTATGCGCATGTGTCAACGCGGCGCATGCACAGAAAGTTTTTAGCTTTGAGGTCCGAATTAACGACTTTTGACTGTATTTCAAATTTCTTCCTTACTTCCATTCATAATACTGAGGGGAAAACATTTATAAATTATTTCAGTTTTATTTGTATGTGAATCAGATAAGCTGGATTATTTTTTTTTAATCTTAATAATGTGATTTATAAACATTCTATCAGAATGGTTAGCTGCTTTTACAAAAATAATAATAATAATAATAACTAATTAACTGGAGAATACCATTGTGGATTTTAAAAGGATAGATCTTCTACTGACCAAATAACAATATTAGGTAAATACTCGACGACAAACGGATATGATATAGATACATACCACCTTTTCATTGGTTTTTAAGACTGCTTATGATAGCATTAAGAGGGAGAAATTGTTTCAGGTGATGCTGAAGTTGGGAATACCTGAAAAATTGGTGAATCTGATAAAGATGATCCTTAGGTCAGTAAAATGTAGAATGAAACTGGGACCTGAATTATCAGATTTCTTTTATACTGAAAAAGAACTAGAATGGGGTGATTCTCTTTCCTGCCAGCTGTTTAATATCGCCCTTGAAATAAGAAACTGAGGCATACAAACACAAACTATAACCATACAATCTATGCAGTTATTGACCTTTGCTGATGACGCTAACATTGTGGGAAGAACGAAGGTGACAATAGTTGAGGCTTTTGTGTGCTTGAGTCAGCAGCAAAAATGTTGGTTTGACCATCAATGAAAAAGAAATTAAGTTCGTGACAGTTATGAATAGAAGATATATATTTTGAATTATTTGAAAATAAATTATTTTGTTTTTGAGGAGGTTGAACAGTTTAAATACTTGGGTACAGTTGTAAGTAATAATAATGACATAACTAATGAGATCAAGAACTGAATTAACATGCTAACAGATGCTATTATGGATTACAAAACCAGTTTAGATCAAAATACTTAAGCAGTAAAACTAAAATACAGTTGTATAATACCTTAGTAAAACCTATAATGTTATATGGACTTGAGTGCTATACAATGAATAAAGCAGATGAGGCTAGAGTAATGACATTTGAACGGAAGATTTTTTAGAAAAATTTTTAGAACAATAGGGGAAATGGAGTGTGGTGAATAAGATACAATTTTGAACTACAGCAAAAATTTAGAGAACCATGTATGATAAAAGTTTTTAAATCCTATCAACTAGAGATAAAAATCCAGTGAGGAAATTGACATTCCAAAAGACAGAGGGAAAGAGAAGGAGAGGAAAACTACAAATGAGGTGGCTAGACAATGTAGAAAATTGGTTAAAGAATGTTGGTGTCAATAGGTTGGAGGACTATATGGATGGGTCAAGATGGCAGAAGCTGACTCAGACAGCCTTGATCGGAAATCAGTTATAGAGGGTCAGAAGAAAACTAATATTTGTAACTGACTGAAGCATTTGGAAAGCTACAAATAAAATTCTACACTCCTTTTTACTTTAATTCATAATCGTACATTTATGTGAAAATTCTGTATGATCTTGTAGATTCTCTGTAACTTTGAACCATTTGCTTAAACTTTTCTGAAATATTAATACAGTAAAACCCCACGTAACGCGGGGTATACGTTCCACCAAAGTAGAGCGTAATATGAAACAGCATTAAACGAGGTTATCTCATCATGTAAATAATGGGGTTAGGGGAAGATGGGTACAAAGTTGGTCAGGTATTTTACCATTAAATTTTTAAATTATGTTTTTATAACAATAAAACAAAAATTTGTTTCTTACAAATATAGAAACATAATAAAAGAATATACATATAAAAATAAATAAAATTCCAAGTCAGTATGTTTACATTTCAGATCATTCAGTCTGTTCTGTATTTCAGATTTTCTGCCTTTTTATCATCAAGAAGGTATGTAATGTAATTTGTGTTTTCCTTTTTTGTGCTCTGTAAGAAGTTGTTGGTAAGTGGATAAGGCATCCATAACACCTCATTTTGCCTTTGAACTCCTGTTAAAATTTGGGTCATTTTGAACAAATTGATCTATAATTTCTGTTACAGTGGTCAAACTGGTTTTTAGAAACACTGTTGAAAGTTCTTGCTCTTCTTCAGAATCACTACTTTCAATATTTTTGTGTTCTTGATCCACTAATTCCTTGAGCTCATAATTAGAAAGATTTGTTGCTGTTTCTTGCACTATTTCGCCATTCGTATAACATCGCAGGAAAGAAGAAACACAGATAAACTGCTTCGGATATCAGGAAGCCTAACCCTCCGTGCTATTTTGGGGAATCCCACAATTCAAATAAAAGAGCATTAAACCAAAACAGTGTTAAGCGGCGTCTTTTTGTAGTTAACACTCTGAACACCACGACTGCCTTTATCCGATCCTCGGAATTTTTGTCACTTGGCACATATTAGTGTATAATTTAAGGTATTTTGCTTTCTTACTTTCTTTAATGATGTAAATACCATCTTAATGAATGCAAGTTTATGAAAATAGGGACTGAAATAAGTAATTATACAAATTTAGCTAATAAATGCCCTTTAAAATACAAGTCTTCATGACAGATCTGAAATCTTGTACTGCCCAGAGGGTTAAATTATCTGTTGATGGCAAGAATATTGGGAGGGGGTGTTTTGTTACATGTATAGCCTCAAATTTGATTCTGTTCATAAACTTCACAAAGGGATGATACACAGGATGTTTGATAAATTTGGCTGCAAATTTTATTTTTTAACTTTTCATCATTTACACCAACTGCATTATTCCCTAAAATTATAATATGGGAATTTGACAAAGCCCATTTAGCCATTGTAGATGGGAAGTTCCTGTAAAAATAAAATAGACCTTTTGTATTGTCCTTGTGGGAGAACAAGTCCAATTGTTAATTGCTGTGGGAAGATATCATTGGGTACATTTATGCTGCTGTATTTCACAATGTTATGGCCTTTTTTTTGCATGATGTGCATTTTTTTAAATTATAAACCACCCATTTCTTTAATCTTTAGATGTTTCTGTGTCATGGCCAGCTTTGGGCTAGCTGAATCAGTAATGCTGGGCTTAAACCATCGTTGTGCTGAATTTTCAAATTATCTTTTTCACATTGCATTTTTATATTTCAATACTTTCTGTATATTTCTTTAAAGTTTTAATATAATGTGAACTAATTTCATATTTACAGAGCACTGAATTATCACTGAACACTTTCTTAAACTCTATGGAATCACCTTGTAAAGTTACCTCATCTTCTACATCTGCTAATATAGTGACTGAAAACTCAAACTTTGATTCAATTTCAAGATTGCCACCTGTTGTAAGTGCCCTTTTTATTTTGTTGTTGTTGTTAAAACGTACTTATCTGTTTCACAAGAGAAGCACTTGATTTCAAGGAAACAGTTTTGCCTAAATTCTTCACAATTACTAGAACCTTTAAAGTACTCCATTTGTAAAGACCTAGCTATTACATCTTCAAAGTAGGCAAGAAAATCAATGTAACGTGTGTAAATTGTTTAATCCTTCCCTTAAAAAAAGTACTTCATTTGATACTCATGAAATTCCGAATTTCAAGTGCTCTCCCTAAGACCAGTTAAATAAAGGATTGTAAGTATGACCATACAATGATCTGCCATACCATATCAAAATTGCATGGTGTGAAAAGGAGCATAGCTAAGTTAGATAGCAAAATAATTTGTGACACCAGATTGCATTTGCATGAACCTCTGTGGAGTGTGTATATACTATATTCATATTAGATTTGCACACTATAAGGAGTAGATGACCAAGGTTGAGAGAGGTTGTATCATTGGGATGAAAAGAGGTATGTCAAGCCTGATATGTTGAAGTGCCATGGCAGTAAACATTGTTGGCATCAATGAATATAGGGCATGGGGATGTAATAATATGTGTTGTACAATTGTGGAGAAAATAAAGCATCTTGCCTGGTACTTATAAAAAGTGCATGTGTTGAATGTGATTGCTTTGCATAATATGTGACCTTGTGCAGCTATTGAGTCATTCATCTGAACCATTAAGAGATAACCCACAGATGGGCATTGCATAGCCTCTTCCACTGCATACTTAAACCACAATCATTTGAAAGTGCAGTCCACTGCAATTAACATAGTATAATACTCAGCAGCTAGTCACATGTTATTTCAATAAGTCAGATTTTACACTGGGCATACAATAGCCCATGTACTTGCATCTTTTAAAGGGTTTGACCAGAATATGGAATACAACATTCTTGCGGAAGATCATATATCAGCATCTCTGGATGTGATTATCTGGAGCTCCATTCTCTATGATAATGAAATACTTTTGGGAACTCTTCATACCAGCATTCAATGCAGTATGTAAGTGGCAATCTGAGACCAGTTTCATAATTATTCTTATCACAGCGTTCCTATCCCATTTTTCAATAAGATAATGCTTCAGGATACACATGGCTAGCATGGGCTTTTTCTGCTTTGCCTGCTAATGTTGATACACCTCTATGGTTAGCCTGCTCACCCAACCTCTTCCCGTTATAGAATGCTTGGTACATAATGGAACCCACATAATCTCATTCAAGTGTGGCAAATTTTGTCTCGATCTAGCACATTATATATCTCGGGACGTAATCAGTGAATATGCATGTCTATATAACACTGGATTATGGGCTTTATCTGAGCCAGATATTGCATTTATTAGAGCTAGCAGCCCCTTTACTGTGTAGGAAAGTACGTGTAGACTATCTGCAACTTCTTGAAACAGCAGTGCAGGTAGTTGAAACATTATGGTCACACAATTCATATTGATTGAAAAGTACTGCTATTTGCAATTCAGTTTGCAGATAATCCAGACACATTTTTTAATTGCATGTATAATTAGACAATGGATATGAAATTCAGATATATATAATTTCCATGTGCCTAGTATTATCAACCTTCACCATTCATTGTTGCTTCATTTCTGTTATCCTGTCTATTCTTCATTTGTATTTCTTTGCCTATTTTCACTGATTTCCTTAGCTTTGGAATAAATCTGTGCCAAATTTTTTCTATCAGCTTCTTGCTTAATAATTGCAGTTTTCTTATTCACTGCAGTCACACAACCTTATTGGAATAAATCTGTGCCAATATTTTTCTGTCAACTCTCTGTTCAATTCCTACAATTTTCATCTTCAGTGCACTCAACCAACCTTAACTCTGACAAGTAACCTCAGTATCGGTTCAGAAGATTTCAAAAATTATGAAAAAGAGGAAGAGATTGTGACAAACTTTCAAAATTTGACATTTTACCAGTGCTATGCCATTATTCACACAGGGGGGCGGTGCTTAACTTTTCAAAGCAAGAATTTTTTTATTTATTTAACCCTATCACTATCTTTCTTTTTGCATTAACTTTTAATGAGAACTAATATTAGGGGCATCAGTATTCTTTTGAATATCTTATTTTTCTTTACTAATCGTCCTTTTAAACTGCAGAAGTTTGTACAAGAATTAGCATTAAAATGACACTGTATAACTAATATTCCCTTTAAATATGAACAAAAAACTGATTCCTGTCCTAAAATGGAACTACCAGGTGTGCCCTCAAACAAACTAGATGAATTAAAAGACCAAAAAATAAAATATAAAAGTGAAAAAATAAATGTATGTTTAGAAAGAGAGACACCTCAACTTTTTTAAAGCCAGTTTAAACTGATTATTTTGTCATTTGCATATCAGAACACTGGAATCTTTTTCATTTACTGCAAAGACAGTGTACAAAAAATTTTGCTTCAGTATGGAGCAGGGTTATAACATTAAATTTGTTACAAATTCAGGTAAATCTGCTACCCAAACATTGAAGATGTTTCGAAGAGTATATAGCAGACATGGCCAAACTGCGGCTCATGAGACGCATGCGGCTTTGCGATACCTTAACTGCAGCTCATGAGCTACTTATGTTTGTTTGCCATTTGAAATGAGACTTGTTTTGAGTAAATATAGTTTAATTTTTTAATGCAAATGGAATTTAAAATAGAAATCATGCAGTGCTACATTTCTTTATTAATTGCTAACTGAATTTCTTGTATTATGTACTTAAAAATTTGATAGATCTCAAACTGTCCACTGCTGGCTTATCATCAGAGCAACAAATATGTAAAATAACAAATAATTCCATTTCTGGTAATTCTATTCCAGTTATGTTACTTTCTGAGCAAGTAATGGTCATTGGAATACACTAATTCAAAGTTATTCTAAAACTCAATGCCAATACTTTAATTATTATTCCTTATATTTTTCTCTGAATTTAATTTTACTTCAGGCAGTATCTGCTTATATTCTTGTGTGATCCCATTGTTCACAACAGTTGTTATCCACCTGGAAGATTTGCTCTTTGTTTAAGGTACTACTTTTATTCAGTCATTGAATGGCATGAATAACTGCTGAAGAAACCTTGCAATCCATATCAAACTCTCTTAATCCATGAAAAAATTTACGAGGTTTTTATTTGGGGGGGTGAATCTTCGGCCCTTTACTTGGTGGGAAACTTATCTCAGTTATCTGCGGAACTGTTTTCAAAATTAATTTCCTTTCCCCCAAGCTAGTCAGGCATTTGTATGCAATTGCTTCACATATTTTGCAACCATTCACAATAATATGCTTAATGAATACTTTTCCCACATGAAACTCTATCTTACATAATAATTCCTTGATAATCCTAGGCAGAGATCAAAATTTATTTCACCAATGGTTGTGTATGCTAAAATATTTCAAAGCATGGGAAGAATCACTGGTTTGACAACAATTTAAATTTTAGTCAAAATGTTTAATTCCATTTTATCAAATATTATTATCTCAGATAGAGACCTTTCACCTTAATCATCAAATCTTGATATCAATAACATTGCATCAAGCAATGAGGGATCAGCAGATGATAAACATCTCTCTTCTCCAAAGTTTCTATCAAAATTGGCATACTCATATGGGTGAAATCTTTTTAGCTTGTGATATTTTCTCGTATTTTTTGATTTCTTGTTTGATGACCTTTTTTTCTACCTTGAACTAGGTTAGAGGCATTTTTCTGCTCTAGGTTAGAGTCGCCGTTAAATATCGTACTAGGTTAGAGGCATTTTGCTGCCCAACATATCTAGAATTTTTCACCCCTTAGTACTGTGACTCTGCAGCTACACTGGTTGCCCCGGCTCTGATGCCAGCATTTCACTTCTTTTAATCTGTTGATATTTTCTGTCTTCCTAATTTTTTACCATCGAGTACATCTGAAATGTCCTTCGTGAAAGGTTAATAGGCAAATGAAAAGTTGTACAATGATCCACTGCTTGATCACTACAAATTTCAGGCAATGATGTGAAATTTTGCTCCTGTAACGTTTATTTTTTAATGTGCGATCTTTTATTTTCTAAAGTATCCTCTGCCTACAAACTTCATTTGAGATTTATTTTCCATACACAGGTTAGGTAACCCAATAAAAAGTTGTACTGTGTAACCATTAAGGCTGATAATAATTTATTTTAAACTTTCTTCTGTGTCATTTTACGTAGAAGTTCAAAACGAGATGGTAAGCCATTTGACCACCTTTATGGGTCTAGCAGTTAGAATATCGTGGATCCGTTCACCCATTTGGCAAGAGCTTAGGAACTAAACTATTGCGCAGATATCTGCTGTATTGCAAAAGACTTCCACGTCGAACATCTGTGTATGTCCATAGAAATATGAAGAGTTACACGTTCATGTTATAATCTGCATTTGTGAAATAAATTCATTATAGTAGTGACGGGTGTGGTTTCTTTCTGTAATATAGGTTTTGATTTTCCATGTATTTGAAAAACAGCTCAAAATTAAACAGCTAGGTGGATCGAATAATGCCTGGCATCATGATGCTGTTTTGAAAACTGGGCTTAATAAATTATGCCCGGCATTTTGCCATCATTGCTTTCAGTAGGGAAGTTTTTAATCTTTAGTGTGTCTGTGAAAGTACAGTAATAGTTTGGCATCTTAATGTCCATCAGCACATTAACTTTAGTAAATAAGTCATGATAATATGACTGCTCTATGTAGACCTCAAATATATGTCACAAAGATATGAAGTGAGCATTTTTAAGCACAATATTGGTGCATGAAGAAATGAGAATACAAATGAGTGAAGTATTGAATTGTTGCGCAAGCATGGTCATCCAGTATGCAATTTGCTGTCTTGGCATCCATTCAAAAAAATATTAGTTGTAACTTTTTCAATAGTTTGAAATCTTTCCAAATGAAAACACTAGTAAGATATGTTAAGACATAAAAAATGCTATCATAAGCAAGAAAGCACATTCTTTAAAAAAGACACCTCTTGCATACTGTTTTAATTTTCTTAGGACATAGGACAGCTTTCCAGAATAAGGGACATTCCTGTTAAAGAAAGGATGTCTGGTCATCTTCCTTGGCAATCAATTTAGTATTAACAGTGCTATTTCATTTTCCTGATTACAAGTGACATCAGCAACATCAGATAACAAGCTAGGATTGCTGTATTACTGTTAAAGAATTTCCTAATAATCTCTAGGCATCTTTAATGATTTTTAATTTAAACTAGGACCCTTAAAGTTTCAAACTGTTTATCAGTAACTTTCTAAATTCATTTTGTAACGTGTTGGCCAAAAAATAATGTATACTTAATATTTTAGTATCTTAGAGTCTGTCAGTTATTAGATATGTAGTATTTCTGAAATTATTGAAATCTAGCTCAATTTAAGAAGCAGTTTTCAGTTTTAGAAGTGTATTGAAAACCTCCATATGGGCCTGTGTAATATTGGTAGATTTAGTGTGAAAGTCTGAGATGCCATATTTTAGCAAAGAACTGTGTTTTATGAAATTTTTATTTGAGTTTCGAGTACAGATAATCCCTTTTTATAAATACTCGACTTATGTCACTGTGCTTTTGTAAAAGGCTTACTGTAGTACCACTTTTGTGTAGTTAAAGAAATAAAAGAAAGGTGATTTCTTCAAACAAAAAAGTCAAAAGTGACAGTAACTTGTTTTATGTCGTGGTTTCAAGAAAGGTGAATTTAATTGCAAAAGAATGTGCAGGTTTAGGGCAGTGTGGCAACATATTTTCCTTAACCATAAATATGCCATATTTGGAAGGGGAAATGTGTCATTTTGACTCAGCAAGCATTCTGTCATAAATTTCGTCATTGGACCAGTCAAACATAGAAAATTTTGAATTAGTAAGCTGAAAAATTCAGATGATGGTATCACCCAAGTCCTGGCATAACAACCATCTTGGCTACTACTTTTTTTAGTGTTCCAGTGTTCTTTCCACTGTCCTAGTCTGAAAAGATGAAACTGCTCTGTATGAGTCTTAGATTTAAGGACTATGTATTAATTTTATCAATCTTTCTTATAACATTCAGTGATAGGATTTGCTAGGTGTTTTTGAAGGCCTTGTGTTCTGAACTTCTCTTCATATTAATTGTTTCTTTGCAATACACAGTTCACCTTATAAAATATTTTATAAAAATACTATACTTTTGTAAAGTGGGGGAAAACTTGCATTAACTCATTGGTAGTCGTGAACAACTGTAGGTGGCATTCTGAATATGCATTACATCATGTGCAAACAAGTTGAGCTCACTTCGGAGATTTCTCCTTAAAGGGGTATAAATATATCTTGCTGACAAAGCAAGTCTCCACTGCAGTGCATTATCAAGTTCACCATGTTCTGATGTAATCCAGTGTTATTTGAGTAACTTTCAAGAATTGAGTTATGCAAACTAGTTTAATACATTCAATATAGAAACTAGATAATTTTCTGTATAATTCTGAATATTTTTCTTCTAGGATTTTCTTATTACACGTTGTTGGTGCTTTTGTTATTGAACTGGTGGCTCAAAATCTAAATTTTTAGAAACTTTCATTAACTAATTAATCAGACTCGTGGGGGAAATGTAACCATTGAGTCTGAAATACTCAGGTCCAGGGTTCGATCCCAGGCTGGGCAAGGTTGACTCAGCCTTTCATCCCTTGAATGTGTCAATAAAATGAGTACCAAGTTCACTTGGGGGACTAAATACGGGGGGGGGGGCTGTGACCAACTACGCACCTGCCCAGGGAATATGCTGATGCTCTCTGGGGCCCAGTGTCAAGAAAGCAGATTTCAGGGCACTGCAGGCCATGGCCCACTAGGGCTAGGGCTGTTGCGCCACTGAGTTTAAGTTCAGAAAAAGAAACAAGGGGAAATTTTGGTTCTGAGTGACAGGTGTTGCAGGTATGGAAAGATGAAATATTCTGTAAATCTATAGTACCTAGCTCCCCTTTAAAAAAAATTCAACAGCTTTTCTTTAATATAGCAGGAAATGGATACCTTTTATAGAAGCATCTGCAAGAGAAACTGTTGTAATTTTTTAGTTACTACTAGTATGTGTAATAATAGAACAATATCTGATATCCTCTGAAGACTTAAGCAGTGGATGAAAACTTACATGTAGAGTTTATGTTATTTTATGTAATCATAAGTCTTGCATAAAATAGCTGATTTGGATGATACCACTTTGGCAGTTTGCTTCCCCCCTTTTTTATCCTAAGCATGAGATTTTGTTCCTATGATTATCAAGAAGTATACTTTTCTTGTCGGCTAGAAATGTGTGCTGCAGAAATTCAAGAAACTTTTGAGAGTTTAAATATAAATCTAAAATGTTGAAATCATTTTTATTATGCATATAAATTTTAAATATGTAATTTCTTTACATAGGTTGACTCTCAAGTTCGTTGTTTACTTGATGAATGCAGCATTGATTTCATTACAAAATTTGAAGATCTTGCTGATGTGATAAATAACTCATCAAGTAATGAAAGCAAACAAACATGACTTCACTTGTATATATTATACCATAATATTGTAATGTTTACTACATGCTGTAAAAAATTATGAATTTTTCATAACTCCAAGCTTTTTCATTTCATTTTTAAGATATGAGTGCTTTATCTATGTGAAAATATCTGAATAGATTTATCTTTGAAATATTATGGAATGTATGTGTTCTCATATAAATGCATTTAAAAACATATTTGTAAGTTGTGGAAATACTGTTGCAAATTTTCAGTATAAAATACATTTCAATCTTGAAATGTTTTTAAAATTGTACACTTTATGTGTAATGTACTACACATTGAATTTGTTGTAGAAACTTATTTTTAATTAAAGCGATACATTTATAACTTTTGAAAATGTATTAGTTTAGTATTATTTATGTCTTTTACATAAAAAAATACAAAAATTAGCAGTTTTCTATGTCTTGTATGGCTGAGAAAGAAATACTTTTAAACAAGATACTAGAATCCTTATTTTCAGTAATTCACACATGTATCAAATATTTTATTTCGTGGACCAATATTAAAGTGTACATGAAATGAATATTTGAATATCATTCAGTTTTTAGCCGGACATTTTTGTGCAACCAACTTCTAAAATATGGGGTCCATATACTTCATGAAAATTTTAGAAGTACTTAATTTTGAAAATTAAGAGCTCTTCTTAAAGTAAATGATTTGAAATGTTCTTATTTAAGCTGATTTATTTTAAACCAGTTTGTAGTTTTTTAAATTACTATTTGATTAAAAAACTAAATAAGGAGGATTCATCAATTAAAAAATTATTCTTCATAATGAAAATTTTAAAATTCACATTTATGCCTCTCCCTCTAAATAAAAATACTTTCTAAATACAATAATACTCTCTCATCTGTGGCAACATGTTTCATTGCTTACTGCAGATTGTGCTGAATGCTGTATTCGGTTCACAAAACTAGGCAAACATTTAAATGATAAAATGTGTCGAGTTTTACCTAATGTTCGTAAGTAATACGGTACAATTTCATAAATAAAATCGATGAAATTTTATTACATATGTACCACAGTAAATATTACTGTCATTAAATAAAGTAATTATATAGCATTCTATATACTGCATCTCATAGTAACAATGTATTTCTTTTATTTCTGTTTTATACACGAGATTAAGGAATTCTAATGCTTAAATCCTCAAAGAGCTGATATGCCAACAAAAAGTATTCTATCTTATTATGTATTATCATGTGCAGTTTCAAGTGTTAGCAGAAAACTAGAAATTGCTCATGTATCAAAGTATTACAAGAGCAGTGAACCATCAATCCAGATCATGCATATATTTGTGCTTGTGATGAGAATTGGCATTAGAAAGCTAGTGACATTCATTACACCGTGTTATATCATTTTGTGTTGTGTATATGGTGTATATTTTCTGTCGTAACAAACTGTTTTATTTTTTAAAATTTTTTAGTGTTTTAGAGGGGGTAGCAGTAAGCTGCCACAGATAACTTAATTGGTATATATGAGGGCGACTATATATTCTTTTATTTGTATTAGAAATTATTGCTATTTGAGCTTTGAGATATTGGTGATTTTAAATTCGCTTAAATATTAAATTGGTAACAAAATCAGATATTTGCATGCTAAGGAATAAAGATGAATCTGAGAAGTTTTAAATACTTAGCATAAATATTATATATACATTAAAGAACTCAATAATTTTCATAGATTATTTGTAGAAATGTTTTCCAGAATATTTAGCTCATTTCACTGCAGTTACCAGCAATTACACCTTAAATGAGTGAAATGGGATGACTTCAGAGCCGTTTCAAAATTGAGTACTTAACTGCTTTTAAAGTTTCTGTGAAGAGAAAGTAGGTAAGATTAGATTACTTTCAAGCAAAAGGAAAATTTTTTCTACTTTTCAGCTGGGAAAGATAACTTTCCTGACTTTGATTTTTCAAGCACTGTTATTTTTATTGGAGAAGTATTTACATGTGTGTATGAATCCTGTTTATTATTGTGCAGTAAAGTGTGTTGTAGAATATTTTTAAAAAATAAGTATGTATGCAATTTAAATTGTTATTTGCTTCAAATCTGTATTTCAGAAGACAATCACATTTTTAGTATTCATTCAGTTTATTCACAATTCATTAGTTAATTGTGTGTATAAGTTATGTCTTTTATCAGACTGTGAAAAAATGAAATGAGAGGTATCGTCTAGTTTTATTGATATAAATTGATTCACAGTACCTATGTATATCTTTTAATGTAATTTGAGTTTCTTTATAAAAACTCCCTCTGAAAGTAGTCATTAGAAAGCTCTACAGAGTTTTTATTCTAAGACAGCTTGTACTTCAGTTGTTTGTATTTTAACAGTAATCTACTTCACACTCCCCTTTCCCCAAAAAGGAAATATGTTCTTGTTTTGTTAAATTTAATAAATTATAAGTGACATTGGACTTGTATGATTCTACAAAGCATTTATTTTAAGTAAATCATAAAGTCGGGGATTATTTGAAAGAAAACGAAATTCGGTGACTATATAAAAATGTGTCATTTTTAAATCAATAATTATGCTAGTTGTCTTCTGTATGTAAACAAACTGCTTTGCAATTTAATTGACTGTTTGATTGTTAACTGATATTATTTTGTCTTATGTATTAATGTTGCAGAAAAATTGTCATAATCCTGTATAGTTTATTGTCATTATTATTTAATTATCTTGCACTGTTTTTCCTAATTCTTTTAACACAAAAGGCAGTGTTTATGCATTTGATAGTATTAGGTAATTTTCAGCTATAAAGTTTTATTTTGTTTTACAAAGCAAACAAAGATAAATAACAAAGCTGTAAATTATAAGAATAATTTATAAAAATAAGAAAAACATTTAACATAATAACTAAAAATGAATTATAAGAATGTACATGTTTTGATGCCATGTTTATGTCAAAAAGGAATTTTTCAAAAATTTTATTTTATTCATAACTGGAGTACTATTTTAAAGTGTTTTCATGTGCAATAGGAACTAAAGTTTTAATATTTGGTATCTGTACTAGAACATGCTTGTGTAGTTCTTATGCAGTTCTTGAAGTAGCATTTTTAGAACGATTAGTTAGATTAATCTAAAACTTTTTTTCTTTCTGTCTTGGCTATGTGATATTATTTTACATCAGGTAGAAAGATTTTAAATTAAACCATATTAATTTTATTAGATTCTATAGTGTAATAAGCCTTATAATTACGTGAAAGTGATTTAACCACCGATAGTTCAACAAAGCAATAAAATGACATTTGTAATGATGTATTTATTATAATTATACTTTCATGTGTCAATGAATTATTTTGATTTTAGTCGTTCTGTATCTGATATCAGTGGTGTGATTAAAGCACATAGTTAGCATTCTGGGCAAAATGGAATATTTGGTTACGTCAAGATATGTTATTTATTCCAGTTTAGTCTTTCCTAATGAAAGCAGTTGAGAAATTGTTTTAATTAGAACAACAGATTCTGCTGTGAATTTCAATTAGTTATCTTTCTTTATTCATAAATGCTATTATTGAGAATGTAATTAATAGGAGTTTTATGGTTTCAAGTGTCGTATTATAAAAAATACCTGAGAAAGAAAGCAGTTCTGTGAAAACGTTTGTTGATATGTAACCTTTTAAAAGCTATGACACATCAGTGCATAAATGAACTTTATGATGTTTGTGTGTGTGTGTCTGTGCATATATATATATATATATATATTTAATATATTCAGGAGCAGGAATTTGGATGGTGTAAAAGTGTTGATCCATAATCACTAGGAAATTGGAGGCGACGGCAGATTAGATCTTCAGTTTCATTTTCTGCAATATGTTGTGGCTACACACAAGTTGGCACATTAAATGTGCCTGTTCTAAAAGACTTACATTTTTCATAACTTTGTAGCAAGAAAGCAGCAGCAGACAGACACCATTCTAGCTAGGCCAAAATGTGGAAAGCAAGTGCATAATTTTCAAGGTGAAATCTTATTCAGACTGAGTTAGTTTTGGTTCTCAAAGCATTTTGATTGGATGGTTAATATTGTAAAATTATTATTGGCTGCTTGAGTTTTAGTTCAGTTTACATCACCAGAATTACGTAAGAGTCATATGACATCGAATAGTCTCGAAATGACGCAATGCAGAGAGGGGTTACTATTTTTAGATTAGAGAAGGGAAATTTACATCACCAGAATTACGTAAGAGTCATATGACATCGAATAGTCTCGAAATGACGCAGTGCAGAGAGGGGTTACTATTTTTAGATTAGAGAAGGGAAATTTACATTGCTGGTTTAATCTTTTATATATTCTTTATTTTTCTTACATATCCCCCCCTTCAAGAAGAAAAAGGCGTAGTGATAGACAAGCCTTTTTTAAAGAGAAAGCATTAGTAAATGAAAAAAAACATAAATCATAAAATTTTTATCCTGTAAAATATGATTTATAAATATAATATTTTGTTTGAGAGTTCACATAATCATAATTCTTCAGGGAAGGTTCTTGTTATCACAAAATATCACTAAGTAAAACTTTTACATAATCATTACTTGTAATTAAATTTAATGCACATAAATATTTATGATGCTAATTTCCATATTGATATAATTTATCACCATAGATAATAGGAATAAGATTTTCAGAAATTATGGTTTCACCGTTATCATCTTTCATTTACAATTCCTGATTTTACCAAACTGGAAGCCCTCACAATACTTCTAAACAAACATATCCGTCGATAGGGCGCTCTTCTTGAGCTAACCAGTGTGTTCTCTACACAGGTGACCCAGAGTGCCTAGGCAGTTACTTGAAAAGGCCTCTGTTACTTGCATAAGGTAACTGGCCTTTGAAAACTGCACTAATACATTCCACAATAAAAAAAAAGTATAATAATATTAAAATTTACACACACTCATAAAATGAGAGCCTCCAACATTATTTTATATGAAGAGGGTAAGAGAAACAACTGTACAGAGGTAATTTTATCTGTACTAATTTCACTTATTTTTTACATCTACTTCATTTTTAGAATAATTATAAAATTCGTGTAAAAAATTTTCAACAAAATTTCAAAAGTATAAAAACTTATCTTAATAGCCTTCCCTAAAATAATTAAAAATCTAAAAATTCTTTACTTATTTTACTAAATTTTTAGAATTCAAATTTCCAATATTATTGAATTATATTTCTTTGTATCACAGTGTTCATTTTTAATGTCCAGTTTATTAGGGAGAAAAAATATCAGTTCCCAATGTACATTCAGTTATGCAAAAGCAGAAGCGAAAATAATTTTCTGGCACCTACTTTTAGTGTAAATTTAATCCCATAGCTGCGAAAGAACATCCTAATTTATTTGCTTAAGAGCCGGATCAAGATATTCAATTCGATTACCTTAAAAGCACTGGAATAATTTTAAACGTTGGCACTTGGAAAACATTCATCATTCTACAATAAACAAACTGTGGATTAATTTTGAAAGGATTAACACTACATTTCATTTTTATGCACTCGCAGCAAATCTATTATTGGATTTTTTTTTTCACATTTTTATATTGCAGTTGAATTAAGTTTCACTTATTAAATCGCCGCATATGCTGGATTAAACTTCGAAGAATGGATTTTTACTTTAAAATTTGTAACACACTTGCTGATACCAGGTTGAGAACATAGATTGTCGGAGCCGAAGATATGTTGAAAGATTATAACATGAAAGCATTAACAATTTGGCTTTCACAATCATAGCTACAATTTCAATGATAACGCTTCTGTGAAGAACAGGTTCACTTTGATGATTTAAAACACTCTTTTTTCTTCTAAACATTTAAGAGATGGCTGTACACTTCATTTTCACTAAAGTTAGCACTTTTGAACTTGCAGGTACTCAATATCCATTATGAATTTCCATTAGGCATGGAAGTTTGAGGAGATGGTTGGTTATTGCAGACACTGTGATGACATTTCCACTGGAATTCCAACCCGCAGGACATGTATCCTGTTGACTCAGTTATAATATATTCAAGAGCAGGAATTGGATTTGGATGGCGTAGAAGTGTTGATCCATAGTGACTAGGAAATGGAGGCCACTGCAGATTAAATCTTCAGTTTTGTTTTCAGCATCATGTTGCGGCTACGCACAAGTCGGCACATTAAATGTACCTGTTTCAAAAGGCTTACATTTTTGATAACTTCGTAGCAAGAAAGCAGCAGCAGACAGACAGCACTCTAGCTAGGCCACAGTGTGAAAAGCAAGTGCATAATTTTCAGGCTGAAATCTTATTCAGACTGAGTTAGTTTTGGTTCTCAAAGCATTTTGATTGGGTAGTTAATGTTGCTGTAAAATTATTATTGGCTGCTTGAGTTTTAATTAAATTTACATCACCAGAGTTACGTAAGAGTCATATGACGTAGAATAGTCTCGAAATGATGCAGTGCAGAGAGGGGTTGCTTCTTACATACCCCCCCTTTATAAGAAAAAGTCATAGCGACAGACAAGCCTTTTTTAAAGAGAAAGCATTAAAGCACTAGTAAATGAAAAAAAATTAATCATAAAATTTTGATCCTGTAAAATATAATTTATAAATATCGAGTTTTAAAATAATTTTTTAGAGTTCTGTTAAATTTGTCAGCATTTCAGTCCAAAAGTCTTCTTGTTTGAGAGTTGATCATAATTCTTCAGGGAAGGTTCTTGTTATCACAGAATATCACAAAGGAAAACTTTTACATAATCCCTACTTGTAATTAAATTTAACACACATAAATATTTATGATGCTAATTTCCATATTGATATAATTTATCACCATACATAATAGGAATAAGATTTTCAGAAATTACGGTTTCACCATTATCATCTTTCAAATTCCTGATTTTACCAAACTGAAAGGCCTCGCAATATGTCTTAAATAAACATATCCATAAATAGGGCTGTCTTCTTGAGCTAACCGGTGTGTTCTCTAAACAGGTGGCCCAGGATGCCTAGGCAGTTACTTGAAAAGGCCTCCATTCCTTGCATAAGGTAACTGGCCTTTGAGAACTGCACTAATACATTCCAATTCCGGATTATAGATCATCAGTTTTAATGTAGTAAGGTGGCATGCAGAAATTATAAAATTAAAAATATGAAACCGTAATTTATGAAATAAAGAACAATTATGATCTAAAGGGTATCAAAATTTACAAAAAAAAGCTTGATGTGTATTTGTTTACTTTATTAAACATTTCTTTCAATTTAAGTTGCTTCATTTTATGTGATAATACTTTCTCTTTAATTCTATAAACAGACATAATTTCATGTTCAGTTACAAAGTTCCGCTGTTCAAGTCCTATAATTGCTGTGTTGAGAATACGGACTAATTTGTCACTCGAAATTTTTTCGTTTTCAATAACCTCTGTGTCACTTTCTTCACTATCGGAAGCGAATGACGAGGAATTTGATTTAAATCATATCAAAGACCGAGTACATCGAGATGAAATACTACATTCAGTAAGAAATTATAAACCAAATAAAATAAAAACATCTGCCCTGAAGATAAGGATAGTGCTGACTGATCAACTTCCAATTCATTGTGTGCCACGGCCTCCCCCCCCCCTGCAGAGCAGCGTGAAGTTGATAAACAGATTTCGGAATGGTTAGAGAAACAAAGGATAGGCTTTTATCCATTTTTTGCAGCAATTCCACTTTTTGTTTGACGGACATCGAAATATACTTTCGCTTTGTAGATCCTCTGGGAGCTCCAGCATCAGAAATTTTATTTGACATAATCTAAAGTTCAAGCTTACTTTTATAAAATTGCTCTAACAGTCTGCAAAAAATAATAAGCCGGATCCAATTCGAAGATTAACGAACAACGTAATTTGCAACATTAACTGAAATAGATAATTTTAGCTTATACCGTCCGTTATACATTAAACGTGCATGTGTCAACGCGACGCATGCGCAGAAAGTTTGTAGCTTTGAGGTCCGAATTAACGACTTTTGACATTACTAATATAAAAAAAATTACACACACTCATAAAATGAGAGCCTCCAACATTATCTTATATGAAGAGGGTAAGGGGAACAACTGTACAAAGGCAATTCCAGACCACTGTTTAGGTACCTCCCTCAACATACTCTATACTTAACACACAATCACCCATAAATTTTAATATGCATTTACCATAATGTCATATTACTTATCTGTACTAATTTCTCTTATTTTTTACATCTTGATTTTTAGAATAATTTTGTAAAATTCGTATTTAAAATTTTCAACAAAATTTCAAAAATATAAAAACTT